CTTCAACACTATTAAAAAACTTTAATGCCACTTTAATATAGAAGTGAATTAAAGAGCCAGATAACAACCCTGCAGCAGTCCATAAAGTTTGACGTCACATAAAGTATGTACAGAAATATACTGCTGAAGTTGAGCACTTGGGACTGATGGTGGAAAAAATGAATGAACAATGTATATTTGAATTTTAAAACTCCTATAGTAAGACACTAATATACCCGAAGAGTTTATACTTAACCCTGTTGCACCAAAATCTTTTGTTGTGTTGCCTTCATATTGCTGTACTTATTTTATTTCTTAAAATTTGCACAGGATTTCTTACAAATTTAATGAGTATAAAGTGGTAAATATTTTTCCCTCCTTTGATTTAGCTGCTGTGCACCAGACACCATTGCTACAGCAGACATTGTTGTTTTATTCAACACTGTAACATATCCTTCCTTCAGAAGCTAAGTTGGCTTGAAATTGCTTTGATGAGCAGTGCAACAGAAAAAGGCTGTGTGGAGTCTACTGCATAGACTACAGTGTGCCACGTATCGCACCTGTTTGTAACAGAGCTCTGGCATATAGCTGGGAGATGTAATTCGTATTGTATTAATTGCAAGCTACAAAGGGTGAATTATAGCATAACACCAATATAAGAAAAGTTCTCACACAGTTTAAAATGACAGCAAATCTTACACTTGGACTCATTCTTATGCCGAACCTCTAATGTACAGTTAACTGATTTTAGAGTCCCTCTCTTCCGGCCTGACGCATGTTCATGGACACACACACATGTAATGAAAGGTAATGCATCTGCTACTCATATAGAGAGAAGTCTGACTATGTATGCCGGTGTGATGAGAGCGCGAAGGAGAGAGAGCAGAGAAGCCAAATGTGTGAAAGTACTGAGTTCGCTCCCTACCCCCATCTTCCTGCTATAAACTCTACCACCCACAGCTGCACACACTTCTCCTGTCACGGTGATAATCTCTTTGTCAGGAGCCGTCTGTTAGAGATTTGTCCGTCTGATTCGGTGAATGTCCGAGTGGCAGGTCGAGCTGTAATGCCACAGGGTGTCCAAGGGTCTGTGTCTCTGTGTGTGTGTGTTTATATGCATGTACGCACATCCAGTGCCATAGGTGGTGGGATATCTGTCCCTGTCAGTGTGTATATCCCTTTTCTTTGGACCTCTGTTTTGTGACAGAAGAGGAATGTTGGAATATAAAGGCAAAGATGTAACTAAAGAGGAGACTGTTATAATGTGAATTATTAGCTGTTCTAACTTTGCTCACTTTTTCACTGTAGGAATCACTTCAATGTGAAGCTCCAATTTGGTGACATACTCGTTTAGCCATGTTATGGCCTCTAACCCTCGTGCTAACACGGTCAATTTGGATTTAACCCAGATGTTAGCGCTACCTACAGATGGCATAACATGTCATCCTTTTCCAAGAGGCTATGGTTATAGCTGCTACCCCAGCAGGACCCCTACTTGTCAGCCACTAATGCTGTGACTGACATCCATCAACTATGAGCCACCACAAGCTGGGCAAACATGATAGAGGACAAGAACTGGTTGTGTCCCGGCCATTTGAGTGACTCATCAACTGAAATGAGGGTAACCTGGATGGCGACGTCAACACAGACCTCCTCGATTTAGACAAAATGAAGGAGGACAAGGATGACACCACCTTCCAGCAGTTGACCTGGCGTGTATTTACATTTCTCAGGAGGTGCACATCAGAAGAAAGGGTTCCGGTTATGTCGTAAGTTACGATGTAGATCTGACGCAGAAGTATAATTTATGTGTTACTGCAGATTGATCTCACTATACAGCAAAGTCAGCATGTTCCCTTAACATTGTCACACTGTTTATCAAGAAAAGACTTGGAAGATATGAATCCAAGCCTTGTACTCTGGTATAAAATGTATGTCGTTTATACACTTATTCCATGCTCTTCCTGGGGAGGAGTCCAAGGCTGTGGGTGAGCCTTGCAGTCTCCGGTGGGACAGTCTTGTGGTTAAACCTGTCAATCATGGACAAAGAAGGCTGGTGTCATGGACGTACCCTGTGTCTCACCAAAGGTCTTTTGTGGCCCAGTCTTGGAGAAAATGAAAGACAGAAAGACGGAGAAGCTTTCATCCTCTGCATCCCAATGTGCTCAGGAGGCCAAGGCAGGCAGAAACCACAAGGCTTTGGGGCAAAGCATTTATTTCTAGTGGTGGCTGCAAGAAACTTGTCATGCCCAAAGGAGGGTAAGAAGCAGCGTTTGACCTAACGTTTAATCAGTATTCTGTATCACCTCATGAATGGATGGAAAGGGTAAACTAACGCCCTCATAGTTTATGATTCAGGTGCTTCTGCAGTTCCCAGTTTATCAGGAGGTCTTTCTCATACTGCTTTCCATTTGAATTGGGAAGCCAGAAAGTTCAACTTCTAAATTAGAATTTGCAACTGGAATGCCCCCTCAACTCAGATTTCCAACTCAGAAAGCTGGAGAGCGCTTCCAGCCCTGATTTCACAATCCAAGATGGCAGCAGTGAACATATACAGTAAAACTGTAAAACCTGTAATCTGTGCTCACACTGTTGTGTGTGACTCATTACGTAAACCATGCACAGCAAGCTTCTATCTGTGAGTACACACACATTGCAAGTTTTGTGATGTATTAGTGGCTCTAACTTGCCTAGGGAGCATAAAAAATATGTTTTCTTTCTTTCTCTTCTGACTACTACTGCTACCACTACTCTTCCCAACTCCAATATCTTACTTAGGTGGATGGAATCCAGCATCAGTCTCCATCCCCTCTAGTTCAAAGAGAGGAGATGCTAGGACAAATGACAGTGCCACCAAGCACCCCTTCAGCATCATCAGTCACTTCGAAATACTTTGTTAGTGTCACCAAGTGTGACCACTTCATTTTGCTCAGGGGGTAACAAAACAATGAAAGTATTCTGCAGCCAGGCAGTTTGCCAATTGTAGGGTGTCCAACCAAAAACAAAAACATAACAAAAGAAACTCTCTTTCCCTTCATCCCCAGCAGGAGGAGCTCCTGTTCTTTTTAAGGGCAAGGAAATGGAAAAGGCCCCCACTTCTTGGCTTGGCTTGAGCATATGTCATTTCTCATGTCCCAAAAACACAGACTACAGTTTGCTGTGAAACCACCAAAATGTTTTACTTCAGTAGCCAGCGGCTATATCTCAGACATCTCTGCATGCAGGTGATCAGCAGAGGTCTCCCAAAGAGGAGGCTCAGAAATGGCATTTAATATTGCCATTTAAAAAAAAAAACCCAACTAACAAACAAACAAAAAAACTCTGATGAAAAGCAGGGTTATCTCTTGCTGAATGTATTAAACACTTACAAAAGTACATATACATTGAGAAAGAGTGCTGGGGTCTGTCAACCCCTCCATCCAGGCTGAAAGCTACACTGGCTCAGCCAACTCTGGAAGTCAGTACCTCAGGTTCGGCCTGAGATCCTAGCATACTGTAGCTCAGCTTCTGGAGGGCTGATGCAGTCTGGTTGTGGGGTACATCTCACGTAGAATGAGGATGTGGATCTAGGACTGCAGCTTGACTGGTTTGTCATTAAAAGACATGGTGTTAAGGTGACTGTACCAGGTGATTTCCTAAGTGGAACACTTCATTTCCCAGGGATTTCATAAAGTAACAGTGTTTCTTGTTTTGTTTTGTTGGGTTTTTTTTTTTTTTTTTGCTGTTGTTTTGTCTTTGCATCCATCGTGGTCTTCCTCATCTTTATGACAATATGAAATAGCTTTTTTTTTTTTTAAATAATTTAGTGATGAGGCAACCAAAATACTGCAAATATTAATGTCTTAACTATACCTTTACAGAAAAATGTCCCTTTCAACAACACCACTGTTGGTACTAAATCAGAAAGTTGCTTACATAGGCATTTTAAAACTTGCATATTACAGGGTGCTAACCTATATCAGGTGCTAACCAGTTTTCCAACTCGTGGTTTACTTAAATATCCACAGATAATATGATATAAAATCCTAAGACCAAAACCAATCATTTGTATTTTTCCATAGTCACAAGGTAAAGTTACAAAGATTTCAATAAATTCAAAATGGCGATATACTCTTAAGATTCTAAGTACATTTTTGAAGTTCTCCCCTTATGAAAAGATAACATAAAATCTGACAAAGCTGTAATTGCCGGGTTGAGTTATTGTTTCTCAAAGCTCTTGTTCTTTCTTTTGCCTTTCATCTCTCCCCTCCCGACACCTTCTCCTTGCTATGTCTGTTGTTTGGTCTCCTCTTGTCACTCCACTGCAATCATCTTCACAGGGGGGCTTGTCATCTGTATCTACTCATATCCTACAATCCCTTTTGCTCCGAGCACTACTGCACTTAAATGTCAGGGCTGATGAGCCCGCCACACCCACCTGACACATCAGCTCAGTGCCTGCTAAAAGCTTTTATGGTGTGCCTGGTGGTTGATATAAATTAAAGAGTTTTCCTTCTTCTTTTTCAGGGATTATGGCTCTAAAGGGACAACTTCAAGTAAGCAGTGGAAAGAGAGCAAAAGGATGGACTATGATTGGTTGCCATCTAGTGGCTTTAACTCTGGCTTGCTGCTGCTGCACCATGAAGGTTTAAAATGTTGGGTTTAGTAGATTTCACTCCTAAAAAAGGCAGGTAATAAGAGATTTCCTCTACCCTTCACAGGCAAGTTGGTGTCAAACATTTTTCTCAGTATTTGTAGATATTAGGAAATTCATTCATTTATTAATGACTGGAAACATTATTTCTTTTGGTGTGACCCTTCTTATTAAATATAAAACTACACTGACTTCACAGCAATTAAATGGAACAGGACCTTTTGTTTATGTTATGAAAATATAGATTTATTTTTACAAGCCAAATCCTTATTAGGCAATGGCTGATTGATTGCATGCAGGTTAATGTCATCGATCATGTTACTGGGAGCGCTTCTGTCACAAGTCAGAATAACAAATCAAACCTGCTCTTCATACACTTCAATGTCATTTTCCATTCTTTTCCTTTATTTGTAAAACTTTGGCATTCTGGCCAATATCTTCAACAATTGGCAGGGTATAGACAGTATGTACACAGCAATGAATGCACAACACAATGTAATATGTACAGTCCCAATATATTTGCTAAAAAATATATCGGTCTTCCTGGTTGCTGACAGTTGTACAACCAAGCCTGCTGATACAACATACTGTTGGTTTTGCACAACAGTACGTACAGTCTAAATTAATAAACAATATATACAACATTACTTTTACGGTTGTACAACACACATACTCATACTGCATACTTATTCATCAGTTTGCCAGCCACACCTTTTGCCGTTGTGCAGTGCAACAAAACCCACAGTTTTTGAACTGGCAAACAAAACTGTGTCCAGAATGTATTGTTTCTACTACAGTGCTCATTTCTTGCACATCTCAAAACGTTTTACCTCTGATCAGCAAGTATGTTTCTAACTTGTGGAGCATTATAATCTACATTGCTACGGCTTAACTGTACAACACAAAGTGCTACTAGTATCTGCAAAAAACCCTGTTCTATCATACCTCGTCTTTATGAGTGAACATCTCATTAGATAAAATTAGGGCAGCATCATTAGACAGTATATACAAAAATCTGACACAGTGATTCTCCAATGTTTTGGCTTTCAGATACTAATGGCAAACATAAGCCTACTGATAAACACATTTGAGCACATGCAAATTGATGAATTATGCTGGACGTTGTCTAAAATGTATAGACTGCAGAGTGTGCCATGTTTCTTTTAAAGACTACTCAGTGAATCAAAGGCTGTGGAAGACAATTATGCAAGAAACATGTTGATCACATTTTCTACCAATAAGACTAAATGGCATTGCTATAGGTTCTGTAAATAGTCACAGTCTTCCTGTGCATTTTGAAATTTGAGCATAGCTGTTCAGTATCTCAGTAGCTGTATATTCCAGAGGAGCAGAACAGAAGAGACATGGGTAAAGTGGAGATGATGTTACTCCAGTTGAATGACGACTTGCTGAGGACTAAAGTCTCCCAACAAGTGTTGCTCCACCTCAGACATGAACAACACCGTATGAAAGCAGCTGAATCTGGCAAAAAAAAAAAAAAAAAAACTGGTACAGAAAGGTGCCAGTGGCACTGGCCTCTGGTGTTTTTAATTGTAGTATACCTCAGCCATACAATATATATATATTTACGCTAGGTTGTTTTGTTCTGCTGGTGCTCGAGTGCAACATCCAGTGGTTCTTAATGTAGATGGCATTTTTAAATAAATAATTCCCTTTGGTAGGATATTTACATTTTTAACAGGCATGAGTCTGAGGATTGGAGTAAAATAGGCTAATCTAAGAGAGATGCTGTGTGTATAAGTTATGACTTTAGAACAAGAAATGCTATGCTTTTGTTGACATACAAAAATATATAAACCATACTGCTACTTTTATGTTTGTGGCACTGAATACTCCTTTTTTCAGTCTACTGTTTCTTACTTTGAACTGCAGCCGTTCCTGCAAATATACAGTAATTCAAGGCAGATAAGAGTTTGTCTTTGTGTATTGTAAGACAGCCTTGCCACTTATATGACCAAGGAAGGGTACGTTAGAAGCAATTGATTTAATAAAATGTCTGTATGTTTGAACTGAAAATTCTCTTTTCAAAATTAAGAATAATTTCTTTTAAGATCTATTATTTGACTTCCTCAAGCCACTCAGTTTCACAGTTTCCAATGAAGGTGCATGTGATGAATTTTATATCAGTGCATCAAGCTGTTAAAATTGAAACAATTCACCGAGTGACTTGACGCTAATCCTGGTGCCAGTACAAGTGGGCGTCTATATTGTCGTGTTATAGTTTATTAGATGTGATTTGTGCTTTTTAGAATGCAGGTTTACGGTTAAAAGCTAAAATTATATTTGTGCTGCATTCAAATGGTTGAGGCTATTCCTTTCCCTTAGGATCTGAAGTGACTTTTGGACTCTCAAGTTTCTTCATCCCTCTCCGCTGAGCAAGGCCAGAAGACTGAACAGGCTCCAGGACAGGGGCAGGAGCACAGCGCCTCAGAGCAGAATAGGTGGCAGATAGAGCCCCCTAGTGGAATAAAAGTAGAATGCATTGTATTGGATCAGTGTTTGTGTAATTCAGGTGACACCTTTACTATCAAAAGAGCCATTTTAAAGCAATTCTTGACCAGACAATCTATTTGATGGTTACCCATTTAATTATATTAGACATACCAGTAAATCAGCACCACTACTGGTAAAAATGAAGCGTTTTATAAGCTGAATTCATCTATCCAAATACATCTGATACTTTCAGGTACAATTTAAGTGTTTTTTTTTCCCAGATACTTTTTAAGACTACTCTGCATTAAACATCGAAGATGAACCAAACTTCTGTTGTAAGGTAGAATTTCAGTGGGACTTCCTGGTTAAATAAAATGTTAATGTTTCTTTTACAGTGACCTGATATAGGTAGCAGCCTTACAAACTCAAAACATTAATAGCATAAAATGTAAGAGCTACAGTATAAAAATACCCACCCCAAAAAACTATAAACATCCACTTTTCTTTGAGGGTCTCCTTAGAAGATTTTAGATTGAACAATCGCTTTTTTATTTATTTTTCTATCTATATTAGCACGATACAGGGGATAATATGCTTATCTCTATAGTAATCTGTATTCGTAATTACATACAATACAAAGGGTCTGACCTTGACAATGAGTGGATCTTGTCTGGTGAGACATTTGTCAGAGAGCTGGTCTCTCTCAACAATCCAGGGGTGACGAAGAACCTGAAAAGCATCACAGTGAAACTGATATCAGCTGTGAATGTATATAATGTATATAACGTGGTAACACCACAACTATGATACATCTGTAGTATTGCGAACAGTGTAGGTATATAGTCAAACACATGATATACTGTCGTGGTTTGAACGTCAGGCTCAGTGCACATGTGTACATCTGGGCTAAAGGAAATGATATGTATGTAAAATTTCAGTTTGTATACACTTTTGTAATCTATTGCTTTGTCTAAATTAACAAAATTCATATCTATAGCATATTCATTATATCATGATGGAAAAAAAACTGTCAAGGTGGGACCTGCACTATACTAAGAGCACAATATGCCATATGACAGGCCAGTTTATGTTATGGACTAATGGTACCTGTGGGGCAGTCAGACGCTGGTGGGGGTCCACATGGAGCATCTTAACCACGATATCCTGTTAAACAAATGGGGACATGAACAGTTAATATATTTGTTCTGCACTGATACTACGATGCTAGAGGCAAACATTTCCATTTTATGCAAATCAGAAAGCATTAAGATGTTTGAACCTTGGCTGCTTCTGACACCAGCTCCCAGTTTCCTCCTGTGATAATGAATTTCCCACAGCCGATCTGAGCCAGAATCTCCTCTGCTGTGTCCTCGGGACTGCTGGCAAATGGGCTGAAACTGACCAACAACAATGCCCACTTACAGAAAGCAATTCAGTCTAATAAAAAATGCATGACTCCAGAAAACCATGACCTCTGATTTGAGACATTTTCTCTTATTGTCTCACTGTTATTTCACCGTGGGGGGGGGGTATTTAGACATCCTGTTTATTGCTGTTGCGGGAGTCTTTGAAGAAAATCGCAACATTGCATACAGTTTACACCTGAACTGTATCACAACCTGTGAGTGTGAGTTGTATTAAGACCTTATAAACTCACCCAGCTATCATAGTGTAGAGCAGGATCCCCAGGCTCCAGATGTCACAGGCTGCATCATAACCCTGTTTCCTCAAAATCTGCACATGTACAAAGAAAGCAAAGAAAACCACTCACAGATATCTGTTAAATAATTTGTATAAGTGATACTGAGATGCATCTTGTAATGACTGCTGATGTACCTCAGGAGCCATGAACGTAGCTGTGTAACAGGGAGTCATCAGCAAACCATTTTCAGCTCTGAGCTGTTTGGCAAAACCAAAGTCGCATATCCTGATGCATTCTGGGAGTCCATTGTCATCTGCATAGCGGATGTTGCTGGGTTTCAAGTCTCGATGTACAACCTGGAAAAAATAATAACAAGTCACCATTAAGCCTTAATAATGTACATACATATAAATGTACTACATGGACATTGCCATTGAAGCTCCCAGCACACAGCTTTTGTGCTGATGTTAATGACCTCTGAAGTTATGGAGCTTTGGCAATGTATATGCACTGTGTTATGACACTGGGACTGAATCCCCACCCCCACCCCACCCCCCCCACCGAATTCAAAGATTGATTTTTAAGCCCTCCTTACCCCCTGTGAGTGTAAATATTCCACAGTTTTGGTCAGAGCGCAGATGATGTCTGATGCATCTCTCTCAGTAAAATTTGTGTGCGTCAGAGCTTTGTCCAGCAACTCGTCCCCTCTCAGTAACTCCTGAACCAGATACACACACTGGCCATCGTCAAACACCTATAGGTAAAGGTGAATGCAGAAGACAGATACAAACAAATATATTTTAAAAAAAGAAAAAATGCTTAGGAAAAATTACATGCAAATTAAAAATCACGATTCTGCAGGCTCATGTGCTGTACTTACATCTTTCAGGGTAATAATATTTGGATGCTGTCCATATCTTAACAGAATCTCAATCTCTTCTGACGGATCTCTCCTTGCTCTGTCAATAATCTGACATAAATGTGCACAGCATATTAGCATTATGGATCACCAGTGATTTGTAAACATACCTAAAAAATATGTTGTGGTTTTATTATATATTCCCAAGCTGAACTTCTCACAATAACTAACTCTGAGTTACAGCTCAGGAAGCATGCAAGTTTTGTCCAGTTTGACTACATTTTTATTTTAATATTAATATATTAATTAATATATTTAATAGCAGCACCAAATAGTCATTTTACAAGCTAACAAATAGCCCTGTTTACATTCAACACCATCATAGTAAAGAATATTACTGCTGAGGCTCTAAAAGCAAAGAGTAAATCAATAGTGTATTTAAATAAATTGCAGTTCAGGTTAAGTGTCCCCTACCTTCACACAATACTCCACTGAAGTAATTCTGTGCAGACATCTTTTGCAGACAGAGGTTCCCGTGTGTCCGATTTCTTCTTTCAGATCATAAACATCACCGAAGGCCAGATCACCACAGAGATGCTATGGAGAAAACACATAATCAGGTGCACAAACACTACAACATTACACTTAATGCACATATTAGAGTCACATGTTAAATGACTTATGTAGTTGCTGACAGGGAATTTGTTTGAGGTAATGTTTGGAAAGGTCAGAAACCTAAATACATAAACTGTGTGCTAGTCTGTGATTTAATTAGATGTAGGGTTATACCTGTGCGATGGGGTTGATGTTCAGCTCTTGAGGAGTGGCCGCTACTGTAGCAACACTGGACTCCTGAGTTTGGTTAGTTGCAACGAAGCTAAAACCACGAAACAACTGGTGTGTGTTCGCGCTGGGAGGGATGCCTGGAGAATCTGGATATCCCAAGACACATTGAACCAAACGTCTGCAGAGTGCTTGACAGTGTTTTAGAAATATTAAAGTTTAGTAAGAACGATTGAGCAGTATGGTAGTTTTCTTTTTTTTTCTGTTCCTCATTGAACCCAGTCGCCTATAACCTATACATTAATTCTCTATTTGCATGCTTTAGTTACCAGTAGGTGTTCTGGAGGTGAACTCAGGGTCAAAATGGAAAGTGTCTTCAGGTCTGCCAACGGTTGGTTTGAAAGGAGGCCTCACTTCCTTCTTGTACAGCTTCTATGAATGAGGAAAACAAAAACGAGAAATAGGAATACTGTTACACCAGCAGCTGAATTCAACACAAATGATTGTTTGCGTGTTTGGGGGGGAAAAAAAAATATTATTTCAGTCAGATCTGATAAAAAAATGGCCCACAAGTTTGCTGAGTTTGCACACAAATAAGACAAATAAGTAAAATTTATTTATTTAAACACGGAAAAATAGTTGCCCAAAGTACTATACTGAACAATTAAAAGTTGTAAAATATTTTTTAATATTAAAAATTAAAACAATTTTTTTAAAAAGAGAACAACAATCAGTTTAAGAGCATTTTCTATGAATAAGTCTGCCCTGCACCAGTTCATCACTGTAACCATTAAACTTCCCAGTTTAGCCTACACTTACAGTCAAGTATAAACTTTGATTGACACAGACTTTTCTTTTAATATATTTTCAGAATTGGAAATATCCAGACAATATATGTACAGATCCAATATCCAATTAAAAAATATAAAATGATTTAGGACAACTTTATTTTGTCATATTATAATATGACTTGCTAAGGAGTCCTTACCTTAGAAAATAATCTCTCATCTTCCTGTTTTTTCTTATACCTTTCTCTGTCTGGAGTGATATTATCCCACTTTATCATTTTTTCCTCACTGGGTACAGCCACTGTACCATTAGCTAGCAGACAGACACTGTGCAAAACTGTAGCACTTGTTACACCATCCATTCATTCATTCATTCATTCATTCATCCATTCATTCAACTCTTCTGCTTATTCTCATTGAATGCTGCACGGATAAGATCTTGGAGAGGCTTACAGCTGCTGTGAATACTCAGAATAACATCTCTGAGCGCAAATTGGATTACATCTTGGGGAGGCTCACTGTGGTCGTGAGTTCTCAGAATCGGCTCTTTGAGCACAAGAATGACAACATCACAGAGCGCAAGTTTGATAACATTATGGAGAAGCTCACGGCTCTCCAACGGGAGATTGAGAGACCAGTGTTGGACAGCTTTGAAATTCATATGAGCTGTTCGCACTAAAGTAAAAAGCACCATCACTTCATGCGGATACCCTTTCGGCTCCAGTTGCGGTCGCAAGGATGGGGCCAAACAAAAACACCCTGATAACGACTGTATTTAGACTGTTCCTTTCCATTCCATGCAAGGCTACCTGGGTTGGCTGGAAGACTGTTTACTTAGCCTAGCAGGGCGAAGGACACTGTCTCAGCTGAACTCTGGACACGCACACACTTTCATATACACTGATATGCACACACTCATCCCCCCTCCCTTTCCAAACGCCTTCGATGCTTGTTCCCTCCTGGGAATACGGCGGGTCTGAGCCCGTGCTGGAATGGTAGCGCTGGGCAGGATGGATGCTGTGTTTGCTTCGGATTACTCCTCACCCCCCACCCGACCCTGTGGCTTGTCAGGTGTTCCATAATGTTGTGCTGTGGACATTTATGTGCTCTTTTGTGCAGTGGAGTTTTTTTGTTTCCTGTTCTCATGCTGTCCTCCCAGGAGCCCAGCATGAGTAGAGGTCTCTTTTTTTCCTCTTGTACTTTCCCATTGTAGTGTATATTTCAGTATTTTTTTTCTGTAACGCTACCGATCTCCGACCTGTATCTCCATGTGATGTCTGTGTTGTGTGTGTAAGGTCGGGGGGGTCCTATTTCACTGCAGGGCAACCTGCACGTGGCGAATAAAGCCTTGATTGATTTATTGATCCTTGTCAGAGTTGTGGGGGAGTCTATCGCAGGGCTAACACAGTGAGACAGACAACCATTCACACTCACATGGGCAACTTCAAATCATCCATTACCCCAATAATTGCATTCTTTGGAGTGTGGGAGAAAACCAGAGAGAACCCACGGAAACATAAGGAGAACATGTAAACTCCACACAGAGAAGCCCCACCCAGATGGTGAAGCTGAACTCAGGCAACAGTGCTAACCACCACGCAACCATCCATCATACAATATATTTTGTTCTTCACTGACTGTCATATTCAATTATTCATTAACCAAAGGAAAAAAAAAAAAAAGGAAAAAAAAGTAGAGCAAATTAGAATGTGACAGAATACAACAAAGTCCTTCTAGAAGCAAGTGCTACAACTTGGCACCTATCTTGAAACACCTCACAGGACTTCTGAATAAATGTGAATATCCACTAATGGGAAAAAATTCTAAAAAAAATAATATGAAGTAAAGACTGGTGGCTGGTTGTATAGCTATCATACAGCAGCAGAAAGGCACATGCTGTAATACTGAGTATTGCCTGCAGATGTCACCATTGCAGTGCCCATTAAAGGGAACAATCTTTCTGGGTTCCTATTACTAGCATACATGGAAAGTAACCAACAGAGACTATTAGAAATTGGGAAGTGTTGATGCATTTGAGTATTTGGTTTTCATTTGATAGTGTTGAGAAAATGAGGCTACAAATCTTTACCATTTCAAAGATCAAGACATTAAAGAAAAGGTTCTGATGAATGATGTGGAATCATTCTGCCTGATAAAGTACAGTGATTTAATTAGCATAGTGCAGAATAGAGCATAAGCCTCTTACTGACAGTTGTCACATCAAGCCAGCAACACCATGTGTAAATGGGAGCATGTTGTGTAGAAGTGAGCAGGTAGTAATGTAGTGAGGAGGGCAGCAATGGGAACCCGCGGTGAGGGCAGAGATTAGCGAGCATGTAAAGCCGATGATAGTGGATTCTGATAGAAATAAGAGCGCCATAATTCACAAAAGCAGATAAATGAGAGTCCCAAGCCTTCCAAACATCTGTGATTAAAAAGGAAGGGTGCTTTAAGAGATCAGAGCAGATATTTATAGGGAGGATGATTACAATCAATAAAACAAATGAGTCTATGATTGCTTTGCTGAGATTTCTGCTTTTAAAACTGATTTAAAGGAGAGAGAAAAACCAAATCCCCTTTTATGGCAGTCAGCAGGCTTGGTGGTGTGTAACCAGCATGAATATGTGTCACTTTTTTAAAGTAATGCTGGATGAATGGAATGGGAATGAAATAGCCCTATCAGAAATGCAATCTTCAAATTTATAAAAATGACATGAGTATTTTTTTCTGCTTCTGTTGACAAATGTTTCAGTCCACAAATAGTGTAGGAGGGCTTTGTTTTCTAACATGCAATAAGCACAGCTTGCATTTTGAAGAACGCCAAGGGGACAAATTGTTTTTCACTGTACATCCAAAGGAGCTGAGGTCTCAAGGTTAGATAAAGATAGTTAGGATAATGACTTTAGTGAAAACATTTGCACATCAGCCAACTTTCTGAGACAAAGGCTATTACAGATAAGAAGATTAGTTGCAAAAAAAAGTTAGGCAAGATGGACAGAAAAGGAAGTTAGGGGTTTTGCTGCTAACCAACATCACATGAGCATGTTAAAGTGCCGTGACTGTGGACAACTCTTGAGGAAGTGAAGGAGGAGTTGTCTTGACAAGGCATACCAAGTAAACCTGATCCATGTGATGCTGATTTCAAGTTTAACTCAGGTCAATAATCTCATTACTGCACTTTAAAACTACAACAGCAGTGTAGTTGATGCAGTAAGAAATTATTGTTATTCATAAATGTGGGAAAGACAATGGCTATAAGACAATAACGGTATAATACAAGTTTATAGTACCCAAATATCTATATCGCAGAATACTCTTAATAAATTATGCTTACATTCCAGTCTATTGATGCAAAGAAGCGATGCCTTTTTATTTCTTCTACTCCATCTGGTCCTGCACCTATAAGTAACACAGATTAAGAGAATCAGAATCAATCGCAATGCCTTTTATTGTCATTAAATCATAAGATGCAATAAAACTGAAATGCTACATCCTCATGTACCTCCAAAATAAAATCAATTCACACAATTCAACAATCATTCACACAGTAAAACAAACCCTTTCAGTTGAAGATAATAAATAATTATGAATATGAAGGAGTAAAAAGTAAAAATAAATAAATAAATCCACCATGCCATGGTGCATTTAAAAAATTGTTCTTTAATCTATTTATCCTTTATTTTGGTGGAAATGTAACATTTACCACAGGGAAACAGGTCAAACAGCTGTTTCCAGGGTGACGACGGCCCTTAGTGATTTTTTTAAGGCTCTTGAGAGCTATCTCACTCTTGCATTTAAATCACTGTTAAAATGATCATGAAGGAATTTAGCAGGTGAATTTCTTGTAAACCATGAATGGACAAAGTATCATTTCTAATGTTATATGTGGTACATTTGTAATATGAATAGATTTTTTTTTACCAAATTAAAATCAATTTTGACTTTTACTTTAGATTGCTAATGCAACTACTGGACACATTATTAGGTACACCTTGTTAGTGTACCTACCTAGAATTTTCTTAATGCTTCACACTACAGACTCAACAAGGTGATGGAAACATTCCTCAGAGATTTAGATAGGATCACACAATTGCTCTAAATCTCCCATCCCACCACATCCCAAAAGTGCTCTATTGGATTGAAATCTGGTGATTATAGAGGCCATTTGAGTACAGTGAACTCATTGTCATGTTCAAGAAACCACTTTTTTATTATCGGAGCTTTGCGACACGACACAGAAGCAGCCATCAGAAGATGGGTACACTATAAAGGGATAAAGGGATGTACATGGTCATTAATAATATTTAGGTAAATGTGATATGTTGATACTAAGGGGTCAAAATGTACCAAGAAAATATGCCCCACACTATTACACCATCATAAGCAGCCTTAACCCTCCTACAAGGCAGGATGGACCCATGCTTTCATGTGTAAACAAATTTCTGACCCTGTCATCTAAATGTTGCAGCAGAAACTGATACTCATAAGACCTGGAAACTTTTTTCTTCCAGGCTTCTGTTGTCCAGTTGGGTGAGCCTGTGTGAAGCGTATCCTCAGTTTCCTGTTCTAGCTGACAGGAGCAGCATGAGGTGTGGTCTTCTGCTGCTGCAGCCGGTGTGGTACAATGTATTGTTTATTCATTCATGCTCTTCTACATCAACAGGGAATTTTTGCTCAGAGAGCTGCCACTCACTAAACATGTGGGAAAATCCCAGTAGATCAGAACAGTTTCTGAAATATACAGATCAGCCCATTTGACACCAACAACCCTTCTACAGTCAAAGTCACTTAGCTCACCTTTCACCCCATTCTAATGCCAGATTTGAACTTCAGCAGGTTATCCTGACCATGTCTACATGCCAAACATGTGACATGTGATGCAATTTGCTGCTGAATTTCTAAAATATTTGCCCAAATGAGGTGCTGATTAGGTGTACCTATTACAAGAGACCAGAGAGTGTGTAACTCCTGCAAAATAAGAAGTGACTTCAAAAGTTATCCAAATGGACACAAACTGCTGATGTTTAAGTTTCTAAATTTATTCTAAAAACACATTTAATTGTCATTGTTCAAGGTTTTTATACATACCAAGTCGATTAGCAGGATTTCTCTTGAAGAGCGCTCTTAATAAACTCTGCACTTCAGGACTGAGGAACTGTGGCATTCCCAGCTTAGCCCTGAACACACAAGCCAAGAAACAGGTTTATGCATGTTTATGTCTGCTGACAGTTTATTTTTATGTTCATTCAGGTATAGTGGATCTCTTGAGGTTAATAATTGCAGATTTATATAAGCAGCTTATCCTATAAAGCAACCCTCAGAAATCAAAGATACAATATAGATAATTGAAATGTAGTTGGAAAATGGGAAACAGATAAGAATTTTTAAACATTACATCCTGTAAAAGATGTGAAGGTTCAATAAAATAGCAACAATAATTAGTCTTACTTTAGAATAAGTGCCATTGTTTCTTTCCGATCTTTTCCTTGAAAGGGTAATGATCCCGTCAACATTTCAAACTGGAAAACACAACAAAACAACTGTCAAAACACGTCCGCCCAATAATGGAAGCTGTGGAGGTGGATTATCTCATTAGCATGCTTGCTTCAAATTTTATTAGTCATTTGACTTCCACTGCAAACGGGCCAAATCAGAAACAAAGCGGTTGAAATTAACGCATAATACCATGACCTAAATCACATTTAACTGGAAAAGGCTGAGAGGCATAAAATAAAGATATACACTGGTTAACACTGTAACAAACCTAACCTACTGTGCACCCTGATAATAAACTTTGCCACACCCAATGGTATTTGCCCACATTAAAGATTGGATTACAATGTGAAGTCATTTTCAGTAATCTCTTTTACTTTTCAATATCTCTACAGCATATTGGGAAATATTTGGCTATTTATTTGTTTATTTTAATATCAGTACATTCCTGACACCAGACAAGGGCAGACAGGGTTGACATCTTCCCCTGGTGACCTAATGTAGCTGCCAGCTGTCAGTGAATGTTTAACCTCTCAGTATTAGTAAAGTAAGCCACCAGGCTAGCAAAACAAGCAGCATCCAGCAGATGCACGTTTGCTGAAAATAATGGGACCTAATCTGCCAGATGCAGTAATTAAAGTTGTTTTACTGCCAGAGGAAAGCCAAACAAAGAAATCAGTGCACTGGCATATTACCTAAGAACTGAGTTTGCAGTTAATTCATTATTAGATAAAAAAAATACAAGCTAGAAGAGTGACTACATGCTCGGAGGGAAAATTAGTCATGCATGTCAGAAGTGTAGAGAGACTATCAAAGTAAAAGACTTACCATAAGCACGCCAAATGACCACCAGTCAGCGCTTTGTGTATGACCTCTCCTGTTTACAACCTCTGGAGCCATGTACTCTATTGTTCCACAGAAGGAATAAGCCCTTTTATCATGGTCAATAGCTTCCTTACTCAAGCCAAAGTCTGGATAGTGAGACAAAGACAAACGGGGATTATAGTCAAAAGACAAATACAGACAGAAAAGCAGAGAATTACAGTTTTCAGTCAGATGTACTGACCTGTAATCTTAATATGTCCTTCTTCATCCAGAAGAATGCTTAAGAGGGAGAAGAGAACTTTAAAATCAGCATCGAAATAGTTTTTCTAAAATGCATAAAAGGGATGTTTATGAGCTAGTACTTTTCAGGCTTGAGATCCCTGTAGATGATCCCCAGACTGTGTAAATGGTCCAAGGCCAAAGCCAGCTCTGCAAGGTAAAACTTCACATCCTCTTCTGTGAACATTACCTAGTACAAATGAACAAATGTATTAAATATAATGTGCAAAAAAGAAAAGTAAAGGGAAACTGGTCTGTTATTGATTCGCATATTTGTTTTTGAGCTCTCTCTTATGAAATTCCCTTTTCACCAGAGCCAACCAAACTATGGCACATTGTCTCAATATGTGTGCCTCCTTTAAAGTACAAAAAAATGACTGTCTTTGATCTCTTTCACAGGCGAATGATGGGAGTTATACAAACACCTTCCCATAACAAACAGTGAGCAGTGGATTATGATTTGAACCAGGAAGCCTACCTCCTTGGACAGACGAGTAAAAAGGTCTCCTCCTCGGAGGAAATCCAGGATCAGGTAGAGCTTCCCTTCTGTCTGGAAGGCTACACAAATACATACGTACATGCACAAACAGAAATGCAAGTTAAACACGTCTTGAGGCTTTAATTGCTGTATTGAGGACTATAAAGTATTCTATTATTTTGTGCACAGTCTGCACATTTATCTGCAGTTGTGTATAGATACAAATAAGGGCAGACGACAATGACTTTTCCCTCATTTTTGAACATGTATGCAATGAAAAAAATGACTTGTGAAATGTCACCTTGTCTTTGTGTAACAGATCAAAATGACTAATTAGCCAACTGCTCTGCTGAAGTCCCCCAACAGCACACAGCCCCATTTAAACAGACACTAGCTGTTGATTTAGAACTACAGGGACGAGGAATATAGACCAACTCAAAAAAGTTTTTTTATTTATTAAACAAATAATGACTTACCCAACACAATTTTTCTATGCTCATTTCTGGTTCCACACCTTTATTCCTTAACTCTATTAAAGTAGCTTTGCACGATTCATAGTTCAACAGTATCCTTATTTGCCCTGTACTGGGCTTTACTACTAACCCTCGGTTCATCTACTGTCTGAAATAAGCCGTTTCAGCTTTCTTTCCCCTACTTAAACTCAATTTTCCCTTTAAGTGGATGCTATTTGGAAAACAGCACACAACCAAGAAAAGAAAAAAAAACTCTGAAATAGAGCATTTAGGGCAATCTGAGTTTTTGCCTTATTACTTGTATATGCTGACCTGATTACTTCAAATCTTAGGCCATGTTTAATGGCCAAACATTCACTATTAACACTATATATCATTCTACATGTATAATTAAAATTTATTCCAACACATACATGCTGAAAAAGCACAAGTAATCCATACTCACCATAGTGAAGTTTAACTATAAATGGGTGGTTCACTTCTGCCAGTATATCTCTTTCCATCTTCGATCGCACACGATCCCGAACTGAGTAGGAGATAGAAGGCAGTCTTTTTAATGAAGCTTCAGCCAGTTCATTCTGTAAAATGTCACAAGTCTAATAACACGAGTACGTGTTATGTAGGATAAGAATGCATTTCCTTGAAATTAAGGTAAATTAAATCCAGTGTAGCTGGTTTATAGTGCAATGAAAACCACAATAACAGTGTTATTGCAACATCTGTCTGCTTGACAAGATGACAGTGTAACTCTTTAGATTCCAGAGGTGCAGGTTAAGAGGATTAAGGCTTGTACAAAGTCACTAAATCAGCACATGACATCTGAACCTGCTTTTACAGTGCACCCCTGTTTACAATAATCTCGGCTGACGCAAAACAGTTTATCTGAATCAAAAGTACAAACTAACCTCTTTTACCCAAAATCCCCTTGAATGTAGGGCACTGTGAGAACTTGGGCAATGATATATCTATTGCTCCTCTACTAAACCAATAATAATTTTAACAAATGACCATGACTCAGATCCGATCCTCTGTGGAGCTGTGCTTGTTTTGTTTCTTTCTTTAAATATAGCCGATAACAAGAACATGATACAAAAGGGCTTTGTTTGAAAGAAACATTTTTTTAAATTATTATTACTATTTGAAATGATGCCAATGGGGCAATATGCCAAGTGTATTTGCACTAAATCACCTTTTAGCGTTGCCTTCTTCAGGACCTTCATGGCATATAGCTGTCCTCTGTCCACTCCTCTTATTTTTCTAACCAGAAACACCTGCAATGATAATTACCATAAACATCACATTTTGTGCAACTGTTCTTTCGTAGTGACGTTTCTGAAACAAAAGAAAAAAACAAACTTGTCATTTATATTTCACAACATTTAAAAAATGCTATATTCACCCTTAATTTGTAGGTTACCAAGCTGGAGCAAGTTACCATCACGTTACATAAAAGAGCCACATCAATGTGGTTTCGGTGCAACAGAGACAACAGCTACGATTTAAACAAGGTCTGCAATAATTTAGCAGACATATAGCAAGCTATGTAAACATGCTGTCTAAGCCACACTGTGACGTGACCTTTTGTCCATGCCTGCAGCCTTGGAAACGGCAGCCACATGCCAACATCTGCTGATGTTTCATGTAAGGCCCATTCCGACCTCTAATCTACAGTAACATTAACAAATCAGTGGGCCTTTACTAATTTAAATAAACTTGGTGATCTGTGAAACCGTTGTCAAGGCAGCTAATCTACAGATAATTAGAACTAGATGGCTTATCATTAGCAGATGATTGGCTGGTAAAGCATAATCAGCTGCGGCACTGAAATCAGACACGCACTGTGCCAAAAGGTAAGTGGACATCTCCTGGCTCATTTGAATCTAGTTTTTTAGAGTTAAGCAGGACCATGATTCTAAGTGGACTGAATAATAGTGCACTTCTTTTTTACAGTTGCATTTTAAGAAATGCTCACCTCTTTTCAATAGCATAAAGCAAGTACAAAAAAAAAACATGATTTCTTGAGTTTGTGTGAAAAGCTTTGACCAATCTGCACAGACCTCTCACTTCAACTGAATCCAACACCTTTGGGAGGACTTGCAGCACTGACTGCGAGGCAGACCATATTGCACCACATCACTGTCTGACCTTAACGTTCTGGTGTCTGAGCAGGAGCAAATTCCTGCAGTGTGGTTTCAGGCTATCTCGGAAATACTTCCCACAGGACTGGAGGCAATTATAGCAGCATATTAATGCTGATGGTTTCTGGATGAAGTGCTCAACAGTCACACGAATGTGCACTTACTTTTGGGCATCATCAAGTGAGAAGTCCACATATTCTAATAAAACCGTAGCCTCAGAGGTGACCTTCTAGACCTTTTAAGGTTATTTATGTTTTTTTATCCGGTATTGTCAACACTGATATTTTCCGTAAGGTCAGTGTCCCATCACTTTTATCAGATTAAAGCCTTAAAGCTGCAGTAAGTAAATGGTTGCACATTGTACCTTTCCATAGGATCCCTGTCCCAGCACTTTAAGCAGTTGGAACTGTGAAGGGTCTGCTTTCTCACAGCCCTCCTTAACATGGTGGCTGATGTCAAACTCCTTAAGTACACTGTCATCCTGATGAAAGAAAAGATAGAAGTCATTATTTGTGGATTAGGGTTAAGGTGAGATTTGAACGAGTTAATAAATTACACTTTACAACATATGAGCAATGATTAAATTGTGTCCCTATAACCTCAATGTGCATTTAAAAAGGCCGTCAATGTAATAATTACTCATTAAATCCATACCTAAAGATAGATAGTCATCTACAAGCCATTATATTGCTATCAAGATATTGGCTGAGGTCACTGGAAATCATGCACAGTGTAAGCTGCCTTTTTCAGCCTATTCTGTCTGCTTAATGAAGTGAATGACCAACTTTCAACAAGAGGCAAGGCTTAGACTGGATATTGTGACAATATGATATACACTGCAACTTCTTTTATACTGTAATTCTGTACAAAACACTATCAGGACTTGGTAAACATGGGTAATGGTTATAAATCCATTCTTCTAGCCTCCACTTGTTTGATGAAACCTGTTAGATAAACTTCATTTTTAGTATATGATAAGATTCTGTCTGTCCTGAAGAATCACTTGGCTGAGGTATTTTCATACCCTTTTATGCATTTAATGCAGCTTGTAATCAGCTACTAACCCATCCTCGTGGAATAGTTTGATAAGAGAAAGAAATTCATCCCTCGATCTGGGAGCCAGAGTGACTGAACGTTCACGTGAGGCTGAAAATAATCACATGGTCTCATTTCTCCAGTGACGGCAAGTCTTTTGATGCCATCTCCCTCCTACAGTTCCCCTTAAACCAGAAACATCCACCAAAGCAAGTCATGAAAATAAATACAGCCTTCAAATGTTATTGTCGTTACAGCAAGGATAAAACAGCTGGTTTCTCCAAAGTATTTTCCTAACTATCAGGAATTCAGAGGTAATTGCAGTCTGATTTTCCAGATTGATGTACCATCAAGAAAGCAACATAGGAAAGGTTCTCATCTTGATAGTACAATAATGACTAATACGAACTATGCCATACCAGTGTAGACAGTGGAAGTCTAAAAGCCATACAATTACTGACATAAGTGAATAGCAAGAATGTAGATCTATAACCCACAACACACGTACAATAGATTCAAGGAAGATGAAGGAAAGAAGATCTCTTCCAGTTTGAAGATGAAATGTGCAAAATAGGTTATATTTAAGGGCCATTTTGTAGATTTTACTGTTTAAAACTGAATTGAATTATAAATGGGTGACTAAAATATCAGTTTGCATTATATAGTATTTTTGCATGTTGATGCACTTCGATCAAATCAATCAATGGGCTAATTTACACACAAAAATATAAAGTCCAACTTATTGTAATGGGATTTTTCACCAGTCACTTTGAGGTCATTGAAGGCCTGGCTTCGACTGTAACATGCTGGAAAGTTTCAACTCATACTGAGCAGACTGCACTCTTCTTTTCTTTAATTGCTGGTTTATTCCTTAAACAAGGTCGCCTGAGTAATTTCCACCCACTCCTGATGGAGCATCAGAGCATCCCATTCCAGGGACAGGCGACTAGACAGGTAAACAAACTCAAGCAGGCAGGCATTTGCTAAAATAAAACAATCACGTTAACGGTAGCCTGTAAAGATGATTCATCAGCATTCCTTTACAAAGAAAATGAGGGATAAGGTGAGGTTTTGCTCCATTAATATCCAAAACATTCAGGTAGATCTGCAACAAAAGACTCACTGCCTCTCTCTGCCCTGCTGCTTTGTTTGGGCTATAAATAAACCTCCACTGCTGAGGCTGACCGCTGAATCAATCTGTCTGTATCCATTTATCTATCAACCTGCCTGCCTTGTTGCTTGTTTGCCCGTTAGCATTTCTGTCTGACTATATTTCCATACAACTTCTCTCTCTCTCTCTGTGTGTCCGTCACAGCACAGTGACTCCCTTCGTGTTCCTCTATTTTCTAGCTTCCACACGGCCAAAGAAAGCAGCAGCAGCTGTAGAACGACGCAGTAGTGACTCCTGAAACACTCCAAAACAAACCAAATAACACACATTTTTCCACAATCATTCCCATGTGTACACGGACTGTTCACACACACACACGCAGTCCACTGTCTGCTGCACATGTGAGCTGTTGTCTGGACTGTTACATTCCCACAAACGCACATGGTGCAAATGTGATGCAGCACCCCTCACAGCAAACACGGATCCACGCATATTTGCATTTGTGTCCAACTGATCTGCTAAGGCCACTCACCTCCACCTGGCAGAACCCAGCGGTGTTTTTGTTTCTTGCTGCCTTGTTCTTCAGGTAAATAGAAAACCATCTCCTCACCGTGAATTTTCGCGTGCTGGTATCCATGGCAACGAGCAGATTTCTCTCTCCCCTCCTTTATGTATCTATCCCATAATGATAATCATGTCCCCTGCCGGGGGTCCTAGGGTAGAAATTGATCTTTTATTGGTTTGTTTATTTGTCTCGCAGCTTCATCACTGGTCCATCCTCAATGCGGTCCTCGCTCTTTAGGTTTCCCATCATTCGCATGCGCCTCTCGTCCCTCCGGTGGCTTCTCAGACGGTCCCGTGTCCCTTAGCTGCAGTGGACAACGGCGAGCACGCAGACAGAGTTGTGACAGAGGCTTAAAGCTACGCAGGCAGACAGCGGGATGATGAACGGGACCTGTGCTGCTGGGCTTGGGGTTGCCTTGTGTTTTGCATCAGGCTCTCTGCATGAGGCTGCAGGGAGAGGTGACGAATAAATCTGTTCCGCTGAATCAGGTGGTGCGTGTGTGTGTGTGAGCTCCCTCTTCACATCTCTGCCCGTGCATGTGTTTATTCATCCCCTGCTCCCTACCTCCCTCTCTCTCTCTGCAGACCAAGGGATTGTCACCAGTCACATTGTGTGCCACCCCTCCCTCTCTTATTCTCGCCCCTGCTCCTGGCCCTCACCTCCCTCTTCGTTTCTCCCAACAGCATACAGCAACAGCTGGTGAGGTCACATGGTTGTAACCCAGCTACCTCTCCGTCTCCCTCTTCTCCTGTCCCTTCTTTTTTTTGTGTGTGGCATCCAATTCCACACACACAGGCAATGAAAAAAAAAGACAAAATAACATGGGCTACAGTGTAGGCTGCATACCAGTAGATGGGAAAAGAGTGGCTAAGATCCAGTCACATCGCATCAGAGTAACAGTGTTCAATAAAATCCCGAGGGCAGCCGTAATCAATGTTGGGATCAATAATGATGAGCAACAAGGACAACAATCACAGAAAGTACAGAGGGATCTGGTTGATCAGTGGGTGTCTGTGTGTGTAGGTACTTGGATCTGTCACATCAGCAGCTTTGCAGAACTGCAGTGTTACATAACAAGAGAGAGAGCAAAGGGGAGGGATATGGAAATACAGACCAAACTGAGAGGGAGGTAAGGGGTAAATGAGGACTGCGTTCTACCTAGGTCAAGTGTCCATGGCTGACCAAGGCTTAATTTCTTCTTCTTTCTTTCTTTTTTTTATTAAGTTTAAAATTCTTCATCCAGGGCAGTTCACCTGAAACGCCCAAACTGTGATCTCTAAACCTGGAAATGACTAAAAATGTGGGGTTTTGGCATCGTTTCATGTTAGATTATATTTGGATGTAACTGGCACAGAATGTTAGGTCACTTTACCGCTAATGAAAATGTAATCAGATGTGTTTCGTCATGCTGCTGTGCAGTGTTGTGGGAGGAGATTCAGGATTATGGACTGGTGTCTTTGTCCGGTTGGGATTAAGGATCTATAAGTAGATCACCATATTAATATTTATACACACCGATATAGACAGACACTACTACAACGCTATACTACACTACATGTCAGGATGTATGTTAAAACCATCCCATGTTTTGTGGCATGTAAAAATTTTTTTAAAGCAAATAATACATCATATCAAAATGACATTTTACATAATGATTATAGCAGACACTGAATAGATATTTAAGGCTTTATTGTGAGAAAAAAAATGATACACATGCTTAGTTTTAGTTAGTAGTTAATTTCACACTACAGCATTGATCTACTGTAGATACAATAAAATCCATTAGATTTAAAATGATTCATCTATACACAAAAAGCCACAGTCCAACAGCATCAACAGAATCAAGTCCGTGTGCAGATCGGTGAGGTGTTAAATAACCTTTTCCAAAACAAGTGCTAAACCCTATTCAGGCCATAGGTCAGCAAAAACTGATGTGCTGTGAACTTGTATGGCATCTTGTGTAATGTACTATGCTGACACTCACATCTCTTAATGAATATTGAAATAAATGAAGGATTTACTGCATACTACCTTATATTTATGGAAACAGACCTAAAAAAGAAACATCAAACACACATACTTGGCAGTTATAAAGTGGTTCATAAGTGGCACTGTGGGCTTACAAAGATGGTCCTCAAAACATGCATATCATCTATTTCACTGTAGCTATATATATATACTGAATTGCCAGATAAACTTGGTTATCATGATTCTGAAAACAAAAACAAAAACAAAACAAAAATGCCAAAACAGGAGAGAGGACACGCAATAGGTGGTATATAAGCACATGTAGCAATGCAGAAATAAATATGCCTACTAATAATAAAAAAAATACACACTACGAAGATTTACAAATGTGCAGCATATTAAACTCCCTGCCCATCCTGACTTGAAATTACCATAATGCCCCCTGCTGTGCTGCAGAGAAACCCATGCTGCGCACTGGCAGTCTTATCTACTTGTAAGAGTCAGAAGGGGATATAATTCCAGCAAAGCACAAAGTGACAGTGGAGTGTGCCTGAGTGTGCGTCCTGGTTTGTAGGACGTAAAAAGAACATTTCAATCAAAGGCAGTTTTTATTCAAGTCACAGTCAGAATTTCAATGCATTTGAATAAAAAAAGAATCATCATCATAGTGTGTTGTTCAATTTCAATTTGTGAAAGTATTGGGTTTTTTGTATTATTCAACAGGTGGATAGTAAACTGGCACATCGTGGTTGCACACAGATAACCCTGATCCCTTGTCAACATTCATGGGATAGTCCCAACCTCTATCAGGATCAGATTCCGTGGAAACGTGTTTCTCACAGTCCATCAGGTCGAAACTACTGTTGAAACACAACTCAATTTGCCCCAAAACCTGGAAACTGTCATTCTGTCAAAACAAACAATCAAAAACATACCAATTAACAATTTAACAGCTGACGTGTTAAAACTCATTTTGAAATAATTTCAGTGAAACTGGAATGTACCTTTGTTGAATGGCCACACTGGATCTTAGGTTTGACGTGGTAGAAGTTTTCTATTACTCCTTCAATGTATGAAAACTACACAGACACATCAGGAGCAAAATAAGAGAAGCTGTAGTTATGACCTTTAACATTGTGAGGTACTTCTAACAAGATTTAAGTTGGGATTGTACAAATACAATTAAACTTACATTATAGTATTGTGGAGAAGGCGTGATGGAAAACTTCTTCAGGATGCTAAAATAACAAAAACAGACATTTCCATACATAAAATAACTGTATGCGTTTCTCTGGACTGGACTGCAGGAATTAGGTGTGCATATGTATAAACGTGTAAATATGCGAGTGGTTTGTACCTGTCCAAATCCAGTGTATGATACAGATCCAGTGCCTTGCTGAAGTATTTATGTTGGCTGTTCAGAGAAATGGCTTTGGCTGCGCACGTACCATGTTTCTTCCACTCATATTTCCTAAAGCACACAAATAAAATTATTTGGAAATGTTCATATTATCTTACAGATTCACTGGACTGCTCAAACAGACCATGTTGCAGCATTCGTATAAGGCAGGGGTGTCAAACATGAAGCCTGGGGGGCAAAGACTCCAATGCTACCACCTGGATAGCTATGATAAATATGAAGAAACGCAGAAAATTTCCTGCGGAAAAACACCTCCTCTTTGGCCAAAAGAATAGATAAACATGACAATTTCTGGGGGTTTTTGTTTTGTTTTGCACATCGAGTCCACAGTAAATTAAAAAAAATTGAACATTTTCTGTGAATTAATAAAAACTGTGTGTAAATTAAAACAAAAAACATTTTGGTATCTTATTCCTTAGACTGTTTATCAGCCACTATGTAAAATTAATTTAGTTAATTTCACATCCCTGAATTAAAGCAACACTAAAGTGGTAGTAGAAGTGCTCTATAGTTCCAGCCGCTCAGACATACCAGAAGTCATTAGACAAGGGATCAAACAAGTCAGGCCAACTCGTCTTCATGTCTGGGAGCAGGTCCTGAAAACATACAAGCAAAGGCATGCGTTGTTTTATTCATCACTAAAAGGTCTAAAGTATAAAAACCGGAGAAATTCACCTTTTCAAATGGTTTCTATGCTTATTTGTATTTTTTTAGTTTTGGGTGCTTCACTTCAAAACAGCTATTTGGAGACTTGTGTATTCATTTCATGAACTAATTCCAGCCTTTTTTAATATGTGCAAACTGGTATTTAAGCTTGTGTTATATTATCTTCTGTGAGTTACGCACACCTAAGAAAAAATATATTTACAAAAAGACTGAATAGTGTTTTACCTCTATTTCGGAAGAGTTGAAATGCCATGAAGAATTGCAGAAAGCGCCACCATCTGGCCTGAAAAAAGAAAGATTCAAACTTCATTTACTCACAGAAAAAAGGGGATATTGACGCAAACAAATAAACAAAACAGAAACAAACAAACATAATTCAGCCAAGCAATAACAATAGTGGTAATGAATGGTTTGGCCAAAGATTTCATTTTTTTCACCAAGTAAAAAATCTCATTATTCACTTAATATAGTCAGTATGGTGGAAAACATTTAATACATCCTTGTAATCAGGAATGTATTACACACACACACACACACACACACACACACACACACACACACACACACACACACACACACACTTACCAGAATCCATGTAGTGTCCACTGGCTAATGTTGCTTTGACAGTGCTCCATCTAAAATATATAAACATAGACAACTCTAATAATCATTTGTCACGGATTCAAATATTGGGGATGGATACAAGAGGAAAAACCAAAAATAACAACACTGGTCCGGCCAGGTTGAGTCAAACGATGATTTAATGAACACACGCGTGGGAGATGGACACTGTGCGCAGACAGCATCAGATCTCAAAATGGTGGAGCATTGATCAAACTCTTATAGCCTCTAGTGGCCCCCACCTAATCATAAAAGCCTAAACATTCACATTCTTTCTCTCACACAGCGCCTAAGCTACGACCTTGGCTCCCTGTTTATCTGCTCCTGCTGAGATGGGGCAGAAAACCTCTCCAGTATGTTCTGTTCTCTTCTAATCAGACAAATAAGGCGATGACTTTCTGCGAACAGTATTTCTTATAACTCAGCAGTATAATGCATCATAAAACAATATCATTCATTCACAATAAATCAGCAGTTTAATGTAATGCAAATCCGTTTAACAAATGTAATAGTTATCACCTTCTTCTAATTCAGGAGAATAATGCAAACTAAAACTACATAATAATTCACAATCTTTAATTAGGGGTCTAACATGGCATAAAATAATATTATAATCCAACACATTCCACATTGGAAACTGAAACCACGTATTCAACGTATATACACAGTCAGGAACTTTGATGACTGATGAAATGGGGAACCCCTTTAAAGCTACAGTGTGTGTGATAAGTTGAGAAGTTGATTTGTTTTGTTGTTTTTTAAAGGTCATTTGGGACCTGCAGTTTGTTGTGTTGTTGTGCTGTATTTTTCTTTGTAGTGGTGGATTTTTATTGCTTCCATCTTCAGTGTACATAAACGAGAGCAGCCAGAAACGCGTCTAGGGCAAACTGACATCCTGAGCAAAATGCCTAAATAACAGTACAACTAATCGAGGGTCATCGATGTTACCAAATCAGACATGCCCTTCTGACACAGTCGTGTATGTGACATAAACCCTTATATAACACCCACAGACATGCTCAGTAAGAGAAGTTCACAAGACAGAATAATTACCAGGAAAAGTGCTTTCAAAAACCACAAAAAAGGGGATGTTCATTTTGTGTCGTCAGTTGTGGTAACTGCGTACTTGTGATCACAATGAAACTCTTACTTCGACAAAGGAGAGTCTCAACACGTCCGACCAAATAGCTCGCAAAGATATCACATGATATTTGAGAACTGCAAGCTCAGTCTGTTCACTTTGCATGATAATAATTAAGCACGTTTTGAAACTCTTACGACCAAATAAATAAATAAATATACAAACAAATGCCAAAGACTCAGATGTTGTTAATACTTAACAGGATTGCATAAAAAAAAAGCTTCAAATTAACTGCAAATAGCTTAAGACAAATTACAGAGCTATCAGCAATTCACTATCCTCGTATTTATTTCCAGATAAATATGAACTCTTAGGACTGTTTCAGGTCAGTATTTATGCACAAATTTACAATTTTTGAATGCAACTGTACCCTAGTACATGGTGCACTTTTCCATAAAAGCTACATCTACCTCATAAATCACACATAAATCTACTAAAGAATGACTTGAAATGAGCAAAATCTGCCTTTTGGAGACTCAGTCCAAAGCTTGACAATAGAGATGCAGTGGGATATGAGAACTGTTCTGAGGCCTGTCCTAAAGGAAGTCAACATACCCAGGATAACGTTCTGTTATCTGGTTTCACTTCCCCTAACACTATTCTCAGGCTGTGATCACATGAAGGTGGCCATTAACTTGATAAGCTGACCCAGGTTTTACAGACTATTTACAAGTGCATTGGCAGCATCTGACCAATCACGATCACAAACATGGACAGGCTGAGTCTACAAAGGAGGATAAAACTAATAGAAATGTATGATGAGGTTAAAGACATAATACAGACTGAGTATAACACAGCTCACCAATCAGCAGGATTACAATTACAGTGTCTAATTCAAAAAATGAGCTGTGCAGTAGTATAGTATTAACTCTTTGATTTTTTTAAACTTCTGCATCATTACTATGACCCCTGCCCCCTCAAAATAAATAAATAAATAATAATAATAACTTGCACAATAAATGTTTAAGGAACAAATTGCACAAAAATGGCTGATGGGATGGGATACAAATGAAAAAAATCATACAGATTATAATATTATTTTCATTTTTTAAATAAAAGGACTTTTCTAGCAATTGTTTCATCATTCACGCTTTAAAGGGCTTAAGGTGCAATTGTGGTAAAACTATTTGCTGTCAACACGAGAAAGTCATTGTGTTATGTTGTGTCTACGAGAGCTTTATTACTGATCTACAGATGAAGAAAAGACTTCAGCTGCTACTGAAAAACAAGAACACGTTCTGTATCATGTTAGATACATAGTGTTAGCCAGGTAAGAAGTGATACTAACCCTGTGTTTTCATAATACTGACCTTGAAACTACCTTGATAAGCTTGAATCAAACCCAGCATACTTCAAAAGTTTTGGAAAGGAACCAAAAACTAAGAATGGAACAAGTGAAATATGAGGCACTTGGCATTAAATAATGACACTTTAAATGAAAAAAAAAAAAAAAAAGTCAGTCAGCAGAGTTCAATCTGGGTGTGGCTGCCATGAGTGCACGTTTTCCTTTTTGATATAAGGTTGCTTCACTTGGAAGACAGGAACTGGTTCTGCACAACTACGATAACTAAAGGGCAATGATTTCATTAATTATACAAACTCACCGAACAGAAAGTGGTTGGCCAGTGATGGGTGAGGATCATTTTGGTCCACATGTGTCTGAAATATAGAAAGATTTCTTAAAAAACAAAAACCAGGAAAACAAATTCAGTCTATCGTTACATAAATCTATACGTTCTAATGAACCACCTTCTACGTGTTTGTTTGTACTTACTTGGATGAAATTATGAAAGATGAGGACATGGTTAGGACCAGGCATATCAATAAGGGGCAGCAGAGCCTCATGGTTGTCCTAAAATAAAATAGCAGGTTAGTCAAGAAATGGCAGCTTATATGTAAAACTAAACATCCACATTACATTTTACATATACAGTGTGAAATCAGTGAGCACGCAGCTTTGTGGATTCTGATGAAAATATGTAACTGACACACACAAACAATCAAAAAGCACAAAATAAGACAAAACCATTATCCCGGCAGTTTTTCTCTCGCTCTTCAAACAGATATAAAATGCTGTTTAAATACCTTCAAAGTTTCACAAACGTATTAACTGGGCGTGTTTGGACAGCTACTTTAATATCTGTTTGTTGTTCCTGGTATTAAAAATACAGTCGAGAGAAATGTCTATCAACACAAATATTGTTTAAAAAAAATATATATATATATATATATACACACACACTTGTGGGTCTTTTATTGGCTCAGTTTACCTATATGTGAAACTGTATTCTGATTAAGGGAACAACCTTGCCCTCAGACCAAACAAAACATCTGGAAGCCCAATGTAAAATCGTCTGGAGTCACCCCAGGAAGGAAATCGAGAAATGGCGACAGAGAACTTTTCACGACCCTTTACGCGGTGTGATTAGATTGTTTACGCTACTAGTTTACATTAACCAAAATTAGCTACAGTAGATGCATTTGCAAAAACTATAATCTAGCTATCGACGTTTAAAAACAATAATTTAGCGTGAAACGCCCGACTCTTTTATGTCAGCAAAAAGATCGTATTACACACACATAACATATTTTTAAAATCTCTCACCTTGCGTCAAATACGTCACAGCCGAAACTCGCAATAGTTCTCAAATGTGAAACAGTTTCCCGAACTAATAGCTTCTGTCGGTTAAAGTACTTCACACGATCTATAACCGACAGCCCATTGTTTGTTGTTTATGTTCCACACTCGCGTCACTACCTACCTGTTCACTTAGCCAATCAGAAGCGATGCTCCGCTCATGCGTCATCACGCAGCAGAATCGGTGGCTTCATTTATTCTCCGGAGTCTGCCGGTAATATTTTCAAATGTGGTGCGTTGATTCAATAGTGTACAGACCTCCCTATCCTCCAGTCAAAAATATGTTTGAATATATCGTCATGTTAGAATTACTGTACAAAAGTATTACACAGTCATTAGCATTACAACTTTTTCAGCCTCAGTGTTAACCATGAGGTTGATCATTCTTAGACACTGAGCTAAAGCGAAGACAAAAAAGAAAGAAAGAAAAAGAAATATAGGCATATTTTGAGTTTGTACAGACACGTTTTACAGATATTATTGAGACAAAAATCAAAACAAGAACACAAAATGAATTATTCAATCTGAGTCATTTTATTTTCTTTAAAACATATTTCTTGACAGATAGCTTGATGGATTGATTATGGGTGCTTATGCTAGGCTTAGAAAAAACCCGGGGAGTTTACTTCACATGTCATTTGCGACTTTGTACATTGACATTTGCTTGGGATTTTTTGACAAGTTGGCACCAGCTATGCAGAACACGAAAACGGAAGCGTGTGACAGCTAGTCTGCGGATTAAAAAGCCCAGAGTGAACACGCGAGAAAGCTGATTTACTGTGTCAGCACCAATGACTGCATGTTTTCAGCAGAAATTGGTCAGCATTGGCAAAACTAGGTTAAATGTACTGTATACAGTACGCTTTTCCTGCTACTTTTCACTTAGCATCTAAATTAATGGGCCAGCCATAATAAATACGAGGCCCCATTATTGGCCCGTGTGTCAAACTAAAGGTATGGAAGGTACATTTCTAATTTCTTTCACTCTTGTCTCTTCAGGCTGGCTGTTAAAAAGTGTTTTCCATCATAAACAGAGCCTGATTAGACTCCATATGTCTGCACTGTCTGTTTTTAGCTTTCAAAATCTGTTTTTCAGCCTCAGTGTTAACCATGATGTAGCAAAATGCTCAGGGAGAGTATACTACTAAATAACCAACAGGGGGCTCTTTTCCTACCACAAAAGCTTATGGTTTTGTTTTTACCCCCAGCACCACCACACAGATAGACACAGACACGCACACTTTTTTCCTGTAATTTCTAGACTATACCTTAGCCATTCTACTTAACTAGACGAGTCACAGGATATTTAAACAGTTATTATTATTATTTATACTGAACCATGGCTTTAGAGATTAGAGGTCAGGATAAAGGGTATTATTGACTGTCTGCTTGACATGGTGATATGTTATAATATTGAAAAAAGCAAGGACTGGTCTTTGGGAATTCATCTTTTTCATGAAGAGTTTAAAATTAAGGATTATGAGATTTGTTTGTTGCACAGGTCAGTTTTTCTTCATTTCAGGAGCTGCTGATTGATAGAAAAAATTGACCCCTGCAAATAGAACTTGTTAAAAACAGCATCTCTCTGGAAAGCATTAATCCCCAGTCACATCAATTTTAAACTGACTAGGTGTTTGTCTAAATCAGCTTTTCTTTGGCGTATTCATTCTCCTGTCTATGTCATCAGCACCACGTGAAACCACAGCCATGCCTCCCTCTCTCTGTCTTCCCTTTTTCCAAATGTGACTTATGCTGTCCTCTCATGTGATTTTGTCTCAGATGTGAAATGTGTTTCAAAGCTCCTCCACTGTGTCAGGAATAGTCAAGCTGTAACTGTAGCTATTTTTATAAATAGACCCTGGCCAAAGTTCAGCATGTGGCACAGTGTCTCAAGACATTTCTCAGCACAGAATGGTGAAAGACCTTAGAGAGGGTCTAGTATTAACTAATATGCAGCTAGATTTAAATGTAGCTATAAACTCATGATCCCCCGTATCCAGCCATTGCAATACAGAATTTAAATCTGTTTTCCTCAGTTTGAGTGTGCATGTTTTAAAAGCTCTATAATGATGCATACAGTGACACATTTTATCATTCATTAACATGTTATTGTGACATGGTAGAACTCATTAGTTAAGTGCTACTTGAAAGCTCTCCATACTGCTGTCTAGTCTGTGTGGCTAAAAGTGCTGCTGGTGAAAGTGTGGCATTGCCCCCCCCCTCCCAAAACATAGCATCACTGTTGTCAGATTCTCTGCATTGTCTGTGTGCTCTCGTATACTTAAATAACTCCTTATTAAGCATGCACCATTAATTTGGAATACCAGAAACAAATCGGTTGGCTTCCATTACAAAGTGTAATGAATAAACTCTATTAATCAAATAGTTTACTGGTTCCAGTAATTATGAGTCTTGAAGGATACTGGTTATATATAGGCAGCTCTGTCTCCTTTTAAGGCCTCACGGAGAAGCAGGTGGGGAACAGTTGAAGACGGGTGGTGGTTTTGTTGGCCCTGTACTTGGTTTAGGCTGACTCCCTGTGGATTCAGCTTGACAGCCGAAGTCGCTGCAAAGGGAATCTCAAGGGGTAAGAAAATCAATTTTAAATTCAGTTTTATGCTCCTCTCTCCTCTGGATCTGCAGCTTTGTTTCAAATCCAAGCATAGCTGGTGGGATCAGTGGGATGGCATAGAGAGAACAGATCGAGGCACAGCCAAGAGACGTTTCATGCTCCTTAGTCAGAGCTATTAATGATACTCAATGTGATGAGTGATACTATATATTACTTTCATTTTATTATGAATATTAATTACTGCATTTGCAATGTGTGGTGATTCATTTGGAGTAAATGAGTGACCAACAGAGGTCTGTCTGTCGGTGTGCAACGCTTGGACTTTAAATGTGTTGGTTTCATGTATACTTGAGCTCATTTATTCACTAACAAAGATTACGCCTCAAGTTAGAAAATGTACAAGCACTTGAGCCAATGTTGAGCTACTGTATTGTTGCTACCACTAGTTTTGCATCTAGGCAGAAGTGTTTATGGTCAGACTGGAGAAATTCAAAGGTTTGTATTGTTCTGACAGAGATCTATAAAGTTTTACAGCTACAATAGAGATGTTTGGGTGTTACCTGGTGAGGTAACACCCACAGTATGTTTGCTAATACCAAATAGTCAGACAGTTACAGTAAGACTGTGGTTACCCATTTCAGGGAAAATATAATGACTGTAAAAGGGCAAAATACGAGTGATGGACATAAATAAAATATTGTGCTCCATTATTCAAATGAGAATGATTATTTTTGATGTTTGGGGATAGAGGTTGGAGGCAAGGGTTTTGTTTTGTTTTTTTACTGTGGCTGACTTACTGCTTGGAGGATCGCCTTGGGCCAATAGAAGTAATGCATACAGTGACACTGAATCTTAGCAGTGTGTTTCAAAGACATGGAAGTAGAAATGTTTTTGCCGGTGCAGCACGTCTCAGTTGCCTTCAAGGAGGGAGGCTGGGCCGCAGTATCGCTTCACGTTTCATCAGACCTTATTTCTGGTCCCTGAGGACTATGAGGTGATGCAAGGCAGTTATACTCCCCTGTGTGTGTGGATGATGTAAGACAAAGCTACTGTATTCTCTTGCCTTGAAGTCCACATCTACTCTGTTTATATGAAACACACAACAAATGAAAAGGACTTCAGATTATACATGAGACATTTCCTGAAATGTTCTTAATGATGAACGTTTTAAATAAGCTGGAGCCAGACAGCCGTAAGCGGCATGCACGTAGTTGATGGCACATTTAAGGATGCTGAACTGTCAGGGATACGTTTGTATGGCAACATTTTCTTTTTCTATGTTTTTAGTGTCAGTTTTTACGTCCCTATCATCAATAATGGATTAATGCCGTGCTGTCTTAGTCACGTTACAGTAACTGGCTTGCTTTTTGTCTAATTTATTCAATTTATCTGTTAGAAAATTATATTTATTGGCAATTGTTAAACACACAAGCCATTACTGCTATCAAACTGGTACCACACTCTTGGCTGCAGCTGTACTTCAGTTGCTATTCTTATCCATACTTGTCCATGCCCTTTGTTTACATTTGTGCCCGTGTGTTCCATCAATATAGTGTCATCTTGTCAGTCCTGGAGCCAACAGTAAGCTGTGTTTATGAATTTGGATGTCGGGGAATAATGCCGACTTCAAGTTTCCAAAGTTTAGGAGTGGGGTTTTTTTTTCCTTTTAGGGTCGAGTAAATAAAAATATCATGCTGAAATGTAATTGGAAATGACTATTTTCAAAATTTCAAGCATCTCTTCAAGAATTGTTCAGTGTTTGTCTTTGTGTTGCAAGTCTGACTTGTATTGGTGCTGGTCCAACAGGTCAATATCTACGGCATCATCATGTCAGCGTGGATCAAACGTGGAAGTTACAACCATGAATACCACCACAAACAGAGCCAGTATGTGGTTAAAGAATATAGCAGGTACCAAGAGACTCTGCATTATTTATAGTTTTAAGTTACTTAAATTGTCCTAATAATATTACTAATATTAGATGTGCAACAGTAGTAAGGTTTTGTACAACTAAACCTGTGAATGAAGCCATGTAAGCAACAGAAGGACTAACCAACATAAAGACTCTGAGGTGGTTAGTAAAAGCTTTATGAAAAGATTTCATACTTGATTAAGGTACTCCTATGAGTAAGGAAGATTTTTCATTGTAATTTTCTTGTTAACTTTATAGTGAGTTTCCTAAATTTGATTAGGTTTGATAGTGTAAATGAATAAAAAGGCTGCTACTGTAAAATCTGTCCTTAAATTAGTGATTTTTCTTATTATTAGTTACCATTTCTGTTTTCATGTCTGCTTGTGTGTATGTGCGACTCAAAAAAAGAGTACTAACAGGTACTCTGGTTGTTTTGTTCATTCTTTACTGAAACTATTTAAAAAGATTTATTATTTCCATTCCCTACTTATACTCAAAATTATATTATTTTAGATAAAACAGCCATTCCAGGTGCATTTATACCACTAAAAACAGAAGAGATGCATGAATATGTTCCCTTTCCTTCCTCATATGTTTACCCAATCTCCTTTAAAGTGCACCACAAAATTTGCGTGTTTAGCTATTTTAAGGCAAATCTCTGTGTGACACAAATACTAAGAGTCACTCCCAGTCAAGGTCAAGGATAGACTCATCTCCCTGACTTAAAATGCTGCATTGCTGCTCCTGCCCCAGATGGCAGATCACCGTACCAACTGTTGTTTGTTGCTGCCAGCTTTCAAGATCCCCTTGACTTTAGGGGCTGAAGGGCACTTCTGGTGGCAGTTGTGGAGTTACTTTTTGTCTGAAGGGTTTTGTTTTGTTTTTTTAAACAACAGCAATGAACAACACTGCTATGGAGTATCCATAATGTTATATACAAATAATATTACATCAGACTTTAGCCAAGATCTTATATATTTGGCAAATAAGCTGCTAAAAGTGAGAGTTGTGCAATGGCTGTGTGATTAATCAAGATCTAGGCAAGTTTAGAAAAAAAATACACACAAAAAAAAACTGCAGGTGTCGAGCAGTGAGGTGATAATCTGTCATTTGCCCTCTGTTCATTGTGACTCTTAAGACTCTGACAGCCGTGATCACACTGCCAAAGGGGTCATAGATTCACAGATGAGTGTATGTTGATGGCCTGTTGATAGCTTCCTGTTTAAGGTCAGGTTTAGTTGTCTTTCCCCATCCTGCATTATTCCCATAATTATTCCCTGTGTTTCAGGGACATAAACTGGGAAGCATGCATAAAATAAGTTCAGGCTAAAACCTTTCATTCTGTAGTAGTATTATAGCATTATATTTATGCTCACATTTCAGGAAGTACAATGTATGTTTGGTAGGTCAGTACTGATTAATGAGTAGAAACATGCACCATGTCCCACAGTTTGGACCAAATACTATGAGGCATTTTTTAAATTACAGCTGGGAAGCCAGTGCTACTTACTGTAAGAGGTTTTTTGGCAGGGACGGTCCACATCTCAAAGTAACTGATATCTTTATTTATTTTATATTAGATGCTCAATTATCAGCTTACAGGGCTCAGGTTTATCATGGTTTTAGGAAACTGACTTACTGCTGTTTTTGTCTTTAGCTCTGAGGCGATGGAGGAAAGATATGAGCACAAAACAAAAACCCGCATCCAGGAAGTGGTAAGAATCTTGTAACTGTTTTAATCAAGACTTCTATATTTGTTGTTTAACTGTCCTGTTGATTTTATTAATATTAATGCTTTATAGTACAATGGATTTTAAAATGATCTGTCATATACTGGTCTTATTGTTGCCTGACTAGGTAAGAACAAAATTGGATGACAAATATGTGCGTGAGGAGCCCATGATTAGGGGACCAAAGTTCCTGGTCCGACTCAGATCCCACATGGTGTTTGAAAACACTCCAGTCAAAATCTTCTGTACTGTTGAGGGCTTCCCCATGCCTGTTGTAAAATGGTAAGTCGGTATCTACATGATTTGTTGACTCTGACTGTCACTGTGGTCTGCATAAAATGAACTTACGTAATTTAAAAAAACAAAAAAACAAAACAAAACACCCATGCTCCCAGGAGATGTAGCTTCTGACACTGAAAATCCATGATTAAGTTAAAAGTTCCCACTGTCGATACATGACTTCTTATTTGTTAGTTTTCTTTCCATATTTTGCTACATTGTAGTACAAACTAACCACTACATTTTTGACTATTACACTTAAGTCAGTATGCTAGCAATGGTTACTCCACTGTGTTTGTGACACACACACACACATCATTTTCTATGTGTGGGCATGGTTGTGCTTTCATTGCTGTTTCACAGTCAGTGGGAGTTCACATGCCAGTTTGGCATCAACAGACCCCTGTGATGGATGCTGAGAATCTCTCTCCTCATCTCAGGAAGGGTTTGAATAATCCCTGTAACACAGTTTATGACCTGCCTAAGGAGGAGTGACTATGCCATGGGCCCAGGGTTTGCAGCTCTGTGCCTGGTATGAAATGAGAATGCTCTCCTGATAGGCCTTGTCATAAGTGCTCTCATGTGCATATCTTAGGCTTATTCATGCCTTAGCATTCCAGCAGCAGATGGCTATGAATCAACATTGAGGACGGCATATTAAGAAAACAACAAATGTAAAATCACCGAAGTCTTCATTCTGTAGACATTTGGCTAACGCCTTATTCCCCGTAAACCTATTTAAGGGATAGCATTGTCTGCTCTAGTACAGACTATAATAGGAGATTTCAGAATCAGAATACTTTATTAATCCCTAATGAAATTATGTATGTATGTATTTGACAGTCTTTTAAAGCTGCTGCATGTGCAGCATGTATGGCCAGTAACTTGGCTGTCCTCATAGCGACCTTGAGGAAATAGATGATCAGGATTTACAAGTTTCTACTGATTTGCATTATCACCACACTCGCAGTTGTGCTCATAGTCTGGTCTTTGTGGAGTCAGTCACTTGGCTAGATGAGACAGTCCGCAAGACATTTAACAACACAGTCTAATACAATTAATTACTATCCAACGGTAAAGATCTTTTTAAATTAGTGTTTGGACATAAATGTTGACATTTGCTTCTTGCCGTCTCAAATTGCACCAAAATAAGGCAGGAAGCACAGTTAAGGTCAAAAGATTCTTGTGGGTCAGTTTCTGATTGGATCTTCAGTCCACATCACATGCTGTGGGCATCAAGCTGTGTTTTTTATGTTTACCGCTGATCTTAATGCTGGTGCAGACATGAGAGTTCTGTCTCTCATGAAGTGTCATTCCCAGCTTTTTGTCTGTTGTGGTGAGGCCAAACTACAAGGTAAGAAGATGAAAAGGAAGCCAGTTTTCCAGGGTCACAGGTTTCCATAAAATCCCAAGAATAAACATAATGAACAGCATCATGCTGTTTAGACCATAGTGAATGTCATTTTGTGGTCTTGTGGATACATCATTGCATTCGTACCTTTTATTACTCAATGCTTCATGAAGATAGCTATTGTTTTGCTCAATTTTAGGTATAAAGATGGAATGATCCTGGACTTGTCTGGAAGATATCTGGTTGAAGCCAAAGGTGGAATCCACTCCCTGGAGATCCCAAGGTACATTAAGTTCAATAAAGATTAGAGTTTTTGAACATATTTTTATTTATCTGCCACCAATTTACTAATAGCAGTCATCTCATGGGATTTTATATTGTAAGGTAAAGACCCAAAAAGAGAAGAAAATCCAATAATACAGCATTCCAGCACAATAATGGGGAAAAAACGTTTCCCACTATGGTGCATCTTTCTCACAAAGGACTTTTCCTTTAACTTGGAACTTTAAGAATGGGTCACAATCTAAAACTCCCGTCTCTTTCTGTCCATGTCTGTATGGCTCTCTCCCTCTCCTTGATGTTACTTTTTTAAATTTACATTTTACAAGACATCCCAACTTTTTTGGAAATGGGTTATAGTTTGCTTGTACTTGTCTGCTTCTATGTTTTCTTAAGATGAAGTGCACTGAGTTACAAGACCACTGGTCTCACTGCCCAAATATCGGGATTAAGAATATGTAGCGAGCCATTGGAAATCTCCTCCTCCTTAATTCTTTCAAGCCCCATGCACAAAATTAGATCAGAGATGTTTACCGTCTGTCACCTGAAGGTGTGGGCGGGCTGTGTAGTTACAGTCAGGGGACTGGAGCTTATCCTACTCTCCCTCCAGTCTGTGGAAGCTCAGCTGTTCAAGTGCTGACCTCAGTGGTACGTGATACTCCGGGAATCTTTCAGGCCACCGCTGTTTCCTTACTTACACACTGTACAGCCAGCAGTTAATACTCCTTGGAGAAAAAACACACCTGAAGCACATCATACTCTTGAGTACTGCATTCTTACCATGACTTATGACTTTTTAAAATAGCTAAATAATTAAAATAACAGTTACCGCAAAACTTTAGCATGGCATTAAGCAGGGTTAGAAATAGACAGCAAGAAGTTATGTTATGTATAGACACCTCACGAGTCCTACACCTACACACTGTATAGCTTAAGTTATTTGTGACTTAATGAGAGTACATTCGCTGTTCTGCCCCACATTACTTCTGCAATTTATGCTAATAACATCCTATTTCATGACTATATCAGTTTATGAATTTGTCAAGGGGTCAAAGTCTCATGTCACATGCTAAAGGTGTGACATACGGCTGTGGAGAAGTGAACGGTATGAGCAGAAACAAAATGACCACTTAAGTTTTGCAACTTGCCAGAATGGCCAAAGATCTGTAGCTACACTGCTCTAAAGAAAACAAATCCAGTAACCTCTATGTAAATATAACGTAGAGAAAGCTTACCAGACACAGTGTTTGTGATGAACTGCATTGCAGCTCTAACATATTGGCAGATTATAAAATCCGCTCACACAGAAGATACAATTAACCCCCTGCCCTGTGGCCTTGTTTCCAACTCAAAGGACTGTGCACTGAGTATTCTGCAAGCATTACTTTGTTTGTCAGGTGAGATTTGGCACATGGTGTTTCCTAAAAGGAAAGCTGTGGGTCTAAACCAAAACGTTCTCTGAATAAGTAAACCAAGCATTGTTAGTTGATCTGTGTCTGTGAATGGAGCTTTACACAATCTGTGCTCTGTCTTCTCCACTGCTGATTATCCCTGGCAACATGAAGCATTCATGTGGGGAATAATTGCTCATTTGGTGAAGTGGATTCATGTACGCTGTAGGAGAAAATGCACAGTGGCAATGTGTCAGTAGAGAGCAGTTAGTCCTGTCAGGGCAGATCTTCTAATATGTAGCTCACCTGCTATTTAGGCAGTTTCGGTAATTTCACAGATGACTGTAAAATCCATAAGATTGCCATGAAGTCCCAGAATTTAGCTAAGTATGCCAAGTATGACACAGTGCTCAATCACCATTTCGTTTATGCTCTAATCTGTTGCAATCTGTTGGGAAATCTTTTGATCAAAATGCAACCATTTTATGTTTATTCTGTGTTGCAGATGCTCAACTGATGATACAGCTCAGTACACTGCTATGGCTGTAAACCTCCATGGACAAGCCTCCAGTCAGGCCTCCATTATTGTGAAGAGTAAGTTATTCAATCTGATAACCAGAGGCTTTAAGTGTAAAGCAATGGACGTGCAACAGGGTTGCACACGCTGACTCTCATACACACACAAGCCAACCCCCAAACTCTAGACCAGATGCAAGAATGTAAACATTTGTTTATAGTTTAGTGTTGCTAACTGACTTAGCCAAAGTACCAAAACACCCCAAGTCTGCCACCCATTCGCACGATCTACCACTCTTTAGCTACGATCCATAGCTTGCCTCAATCAACTCAATAAAGACTTTGTGAAACCAGTGCTATACTTGTGACACTGAGAGGTTAACTTACATCAGGGACTGTACACTTGACAAGGTGTACACAAACTCTTGATATGGAGCAGGCAACATGCCCAGACCAATCAGAAACCACAGTGATGTGTGAGCAAAACCACCGCTTGTACTCCATAAATCAAATTCCAGTAATTATTTAATTGATGCTGCCTCACGATCATATGCTATGCCTCCAAGCAGAGAATATCCAACTTCCTTTGGTAATGATAGTTCACTTTTGTGATTATTGTGGCAAATAGCGATGAGACTGATTGCTGTAAGCAAATAGGGAACTCCGTGACAGGAACTAGGTCTAACTAGGAAACCATGGACGTGGTTTTACAGTAGCAGCCTATTAAGCCCAATAATCCAAATACAATCACACCCCAAATCATAACCCACTATTCTCTAAATAGGAAGGCTAATTCACTATGGGACCATATGTTACAAAATCAACCCTAATTGTGCAAAACATGATTTCAAACTAGCAAATTAAATCATAACTTAAACTTGGGTTAACATTTGTGTCACTTCCCCAATAAACTTCCATACAATCAGACCCCCCACCCAACACAGACACACACACACAGACCACAGGATTGTCCTTTTGCTGACTTTGGCTTTGCTTCTGAGACTAGAGGCTACTTCACAAACTGTCTATACCTACAGCTGAGTGTTTACTATGATGAGTTACTTGTGCAATTAGCAACATTTCAACAAATTTCATGTAGGGTTATTTTACAATAAATGTTATTCATAAAAAAAGTAATCATATTTAGATGAATCATACAAATCTGTAACTGCACATCTGTATTATTTCAGCTGGCTGTTGCTGCCAGTCACACACAGCGTTTACTGTTTTTTGTTGTTTTTTTGTGCAGGATTCAAGCAGGAGGAAGAGTCCTGTTCATATGCATGGCTGCCTTATGCAGGTAGGCAGAGTAATTACCTCCAGTGAACATCAGCAGTAGATTTTAAAATACTCATAAATTACAACTGTAATACAATTATATTATTTAATATGAGTTATAATATTCCTCTATTCTCCTTTCAAAAGCACGTGTGAAGCAACATGCTGTTACCACCAGTTCTACTATCTCTTTCATATTATCTCTCTTCTTTGCCCCAGCTTCTATGCTTCCAAAGATCCATTACACTAAAATCCACATTACTTTTTTGGAGATGTTTGGACCAGTGTTCGCTACCGAGGGTGAATCTGCCACCCTTTCTGCTACCATGACCCTGGAACCCAACCTGGCAAACCTACAGCCTGAGGCACAGTGGTACAGAGATGGTAATTGATATAAAATAGCACTTTATGATACAGTAATTACCCTATAATTGCTAGTAATATATGCTAAATGCCACAGTGACTGCCTGACCCAATCTAGCCGACATGCAGCCAGAGGCACAGCAGTGGAAAAATTAGAAAATGTTATGGACACTATTTTTATTGCCTATTAATTATACCAAAAGCAGTTAAGTAGACTCAAGTAATATCACCCCAAATTTGTGAGCCGTTTCATTTGCTACATGTGTGTCTGAGGTATAAAAGAAAATTCTAGCTTATTTTTGTTGTATGCAGAAAGGCTTTATTTACTCAAAACTTGATGTTTCATTATTTTAGCATTTTATAGTTGAGGTTCATAAGAGTTATGCGGTGAAGCTGAGTCAATGAGCCTGTCTCATTTTTCCTAGACACTCGTCTGTTTGACTCTAAATGGGTGAAGATTGAAACTGGTAGAGGATTCAGCAAATTGACTCTTCCAAATCTCTACAAAGATGACGAGGGTCTCTATACCCTGCGCATGGTCACTAAAGGAGGCACCGCAGAACACAGTGCCTTTGTCTCAGTCGCAGGTAAGTAGAGCCAAGCGTTGGACTGGATAAGATTAGCGTATTTCTAAATCCAGTTTGGAAACTGGAGCTTAGATTTTATGAAATTGATACGGTTTTGCTGTCAACATAATACTTATTCTGCTAACGCTAATTATTATTGCTTCTTATTTCTTATGAATAATGTGATTATTAAAACAATGCACGTCATCACTTCCTGTCTAGATGGTCCTCCTCCAGTCCCTGCTGCACCTGGTGCTCCTATGGACATCGAGATCCATGATGCCAATAGAGACTATGTCATTGTGTCATGGAAGCCTCCTAATACAACTACAGAGGGTCCAATCCTGGGATACTTTGTCGACAAGTAAGAGTTACTGGTATAAACGCCATAAACATATAAACTGGCCACCATAAAGACAAACTAATTACTTTAAGTAATCCTATTGAGCTTACTTGAGTATCAAATTACCATTTTTTTGTCTCAAGGAAGAGGGGCAGTCCATGTTCTCTTTATTGCACATAAAATACACAGCTGCTTTTGTTTATTTATTCTGTCCCTCATATTTTAACCTAAACAGAGCAGGAATGGGCATGCTCTGCTACCTATCGGCTACATTTTTTTGCTTAGGAAGCTCTTTTCCTGCTTATGTCTTTTTTTTGTCTAGCATCATAATGAACAGATAATTTCAGCACAAGTGCTTTCAGTGAGGCTCCAACAGGTACACTGTTCTGATCTCATATACCAATCAGCATTTTTAATAATATGGTAGCATACACAAAAACATAAAACATCCATTATAAACTTGTACACATATTACTCTTGCATTTTGTCAGATCTTTCTATTTGCATTCATCTCATTAACTCTGCGGCACTCTCATCTTTTCTCTTCTTAGATGTGAGGTTGGAACTGAAAACTGGACCCAATGTAACGATCACCCCATAAAGATCTGTAAATATCCAGTGTCTGGGCTGTTTGAAGGGCACTCCTTCTACTTCAGAGTCAGAGCTGTTAACTCCCATGGAATCAGCAAACCTTCTCGTATGTCTGATCCCATCACTGCTATGGACCCCACTGAGTTTGAGAGGCTTCACGGTGGGTTTAACTACACTAATACAGAGAAATGTCTAAGCTCACCTTAAAAATACAGTGTTTTGAAGTTTTGCCATGTGTCATGTTGTCACTATTGTAGTTACTATTGTTTGAAGTTATAACCGTCTTCTTGTTTCTTGCTAAACAGTTATTCACGTAGAATTACAATCAGCCCTGATTTAAAGCACATAGTTACATAATGTGTTTTTTTATTAAATTATGTCATATTGTACTTATCTCAGGCTTTTATTTGGGGGCAGGTTGTTAGACTTGTAAAATACACACTAATCAGTCTATTTTATAGCATTAGATACGGTACATGTTCAGCTCCTATATAAACAACAAATTTGTATTTAAAATGATCTCAAAAAAAGTTCAGTATCAATCACAAACACATGATGATCATCTCTTTATCTTCCTGTAGCCAAAAGGCTTGGAGGAAGACTGGATGTCGTGTCTTACCATGACGAAGTTGAAGGTGGGTTTGAATTGAAGTTGATACATACATTCTGATGCCCTGTTTAAACTTCAGCAGGTTGTCTTGACCATGTCTCCAAGTTGAAATGCAATACGTTGCTGGTGATTGGCTGATTAGATATGTGTGTTAAGCAATTGAACAGATGTACGCAAGGAAGCGACTGGTTCGTGTATTTGTTATGCCACATACAATATGTATTGTATTTTTAACGTTTTCAGTCTTGTTTCTTTGTAGCTGAAGGAAAACCTCCAGGTGTTCCATCAGGAATTAATCCCTCAGAAATAGACAGGACCTATGTTGTTTTGAGCTGGAAAGCCCCAGCGTACACCAGCAGCGCTCCCATGTGGTACTACATAGAAAAGGTAACAAACTATGTCATATTCTAATTCACTGACTTCCCCCTCAACAGTTGTTTATAGTTTGACGAAGCAGTAACAGCAGTTTTTTCTCCTTTATATTATGCAGCTGCATCAACTTGTGTGCCTCAACTATTTTTACAGGTCTTCTGTATAACACATATAGAGACAAGCCTTGAAAAAATAAAATACATTTTTAAAGTGTAAACAAACTTGCTTCCATGTCTCCGTCTCTCCACAGTGCATGGCAGACAGTGGCGCATGGCAGCGCGTTAACACCCAGGTCCCTATTCGATCTCCTCGTTATGCCGTCTTTGACCTGGCAGAGGGAAAACAATATAAATTCAGAGTTTTGTCTGCCAACATTTATGGGACCAGTGAGCCATCAGAGCCAACTGGACCTATTCAGACTCAGGAACTCAAAGGTTTGCCTCCATTTTTCCTTTCCTGTTACACAGCAGTAGTGTTTATTATTACCAATTACCAGTTGCAACACCTTTAATTGTATTTATGTGTTACTTCACAACAAAATGTGGTGTGGGTGATCTTCTGAACTGCTTACTACAAAATGTTTTCAATATGTCAGCTGAGAGATTTTAAAATAGCTTTA